AGATTTTGACCAGGGGTGTATATATATATATATATATATATATATATATATATATATATATATATATATATATATATATATATATATATCGTCAAACCTAATGAGCCAGACAAACCTACCCAGATTTCACCTAAGCGGATCGTCGAGATTGATTTGATTATTGGCAAATCAAAACTTCGAATTTTTTTCGAGACGAGTTTTACCTATATATATATATATATATATATATATATATATATATATATATATATATATATATATATATATAGGGATTTTCAAGCGTAATAAATGTCTATTATATTTGATAATGGGCCGTTCTAAACTATGTATATTTGCTTTAATTTCAGGTGAAAATAAAGACAAAAATTGTCTAACATTTGGATATATTTTATTAAGCAGTTCCTTGATCTAAGCTTTCGACACACATGAAGCATCTTCCGAGTGCCTATGCGGACATTTAAACAAAGATATTCACCAACAAAGATGATATTCTGTTATGCTGACATAGAAGATTGCTATGCGACGATAACCGTCGCGGAATAGCAGACACAGGTCACAAAAACTATGATGAAGCACATTTTTACATTGATAAAGCTCTTCGTGATAAGTGATATATTGTGAGTAGATTTTGTTTCGTATTTCTTTAAGACATCGTTTATCAGGAATCCTTTCAGTAAGTCTATTTTAACCTTATACAAATACTCCGAGGGATTGACCTACAATTGGAATTATTGATCTTCTACATTTTTGAGATTTCTACTTCAAGATCCTTGTATTTTGATTTTTGAAATCTTCAAAGATACATTACAATCTGCAAGGAATACCATATTTATAAGAGAGCACATCCTGTTCTTGTGGTCTTTGATCACGATGTCAAGGCGATTAACTTTGATTGTTCTGTCTGTGTGTATTACAAATCCCATAAAAGTGTTACAGGTCCAGTTTCCTATTCCTTATTTCTTTCATTCTTTGACATAGATCATCATCCAGTCTTTCTATAGTTTCCAGGTATCTTTGAAGACCCATTGTCTTTGTCTTTGTAAAATAGTTCTAGTTGAACTAATCCTCTGCTTCTTTCGGATCTGAGCCCATAGAGACAATCGACGTCGGTCTTAGGATAATGCATTCGGTGGCAAGTGAGAGTATTTTTCGTTTTGACATATTATTACTATTATTATTATTCAGCCATTATGATTAATATACCAACTTAATTAAATCGTCCCATAGTTACGATGTACGTTTCTATTCTAATTAATAACTCCAACTAAATTTATTTGTGACAGCTAATGTATTTCTGATCCATTCAACCTGTCAAACCCAAGACCCCCATTACAGGTGAGATGATTTAAGGGGACAAGAATCCTTTACTCTTGTCATGTCTTTCTGCGAGAAATACAGAAGATTTTGAAGTGCTTAGCAAAATGCAAATCTCATTATCCACTTTGGTAATTCCATTTATTGACACCCTAAAGTAGGTTCCACAGAATGGTGGTCATGGTGGCGGAAAGTTTATCTCATTAGGTTACACTCCTTGGATTTGTTTCCATTATTCCAAGACAATGTCACAATGAATTCAGATTAAGACAATGTAGCGCTCTTTTCAAATCGCGCTGTTTTTCATCTTTAAAACCCATACCCAAATAAGAACGCAAGTTTAGTAGCATTTTGAAAAGAAAAGAAAATACGGAAGATGGCGATTGACAATTTATTTAAATATTTTAAAATTATAGATGGCATGGAAGCAAGAAATCAGAAATGCTAGAAAAACAAGAATTATATAGAATTTATGGTTACATCTTGCGATTTCAGCAGTAAAATTATTGGACCAAGTCGCCAATTTATTAGTACAAGTAAATTAACAAGGTCGATATGCCAAAGAGGATAGCTTATTAGGACAACTGCCATGAAAATATTTTTTAGAAAAGACAGAACACGACGATGAGAAAGTGACTGAAGCCGATATGCCAGGTTAGGATCAATAATAATGTTACATAGACTAGAAATGGTGATCCGAATAGTAATAGAGGATAGACTAGAAATGGAGATCCGAATAGGAATAGAGGATACACAGGAAATGGTGACTTGAATAGTAATAGAGGATAGACTAGAAACCTGAATAGAAATGGAGAATCGAATAATAGTAGAGGATAGACTAGAAATGGAGATCCGAATAGGAATAGAGGATAGACTAGAAATGGAGATCCGAATAGGAATAGAGGATAGACTAGAAACGGAGATACGAATAGTAATAGAGGATAGAGTAGAAATTTCGATCCGAAGAATAACAGAGGATAGACTAGAAATGGTGATCCGAATGGTAATAAAGGATAGACTAGAAACAGAGATCCGAATAGTAAGAGAGGATAGATTAGAAATGGAGATTCGAATAATACTAGAGGAATAGAGGATAGAATAGAAATGGTGATCCGAATAGTAAGAGAGGATAGACTAGAAATGGTGATCCGATTAGTAACAGAGGATAGATTAGAAATGGTGGAACGAATAGTAATAGAGGATAGACTAGAAATGGAGATCCGAATAGTAATAGAGGAGCGAATAGAAATGGTGATCCGAATAGTAATAGAGGATAGACTAGAAATGGAGATCCGAATAGTAATAGAGGATAGACTAGACTTGGAGATCCGAAGAGTAATAGAGGATAGATTAGAAATGGAGATTCGAATAATAGTAGAGGAAAGACTAGAAATGGTGAAACGAATAGTAATAGAGGATAGACTAGAAATGAAGATCCGAATAGTAATAGAGCATAGACTAGAAATGGAGATCCGAAGAGTAACAGAGGATAGACTAGAAATGGTGATCCGATTAGTAACAGAGGATAGATTAGAAATGGTGGAACGAAGAGTAACAGAGGATAGACTAGAAATGAAGATCCGAATAGTAACAGAGGATATACTAGAAATGGTGATCCGAATAGTAAGAGAGGATAGACTAGAATTGGAGATCCGAAGAGTAATAAAGGATAGATTAGAAATGGAGATTCGAATAATAGTAGAGGATAGACTAGAAATGGTGATCCGAATAGTAATAGAGGATAGACTAGAAATAGAGATCATATAGATGTCATATGCGTTTCATCCATCGTCACGTGATCCACTTCAATAATGGGATCGCCTGTGTTTATTCTCTGGCGATCTGTGTTCAAACTCAAGTGTCGGCAGCGATACTTTATTCCGATATAACAAATACGATCATTCCACTTAATGTCTGTAGAAAACGTGAGACCAAGGAGGTACAATAGGTTTCACTCCTAAAGGTTAGCATCAGTCATGCTGATGGAAGGTAAAACCATACTGAAAAAAAAGATGAATATTGTTAGGAGACTCAAAGGATATGAAGTGATGGCGATCCATGATCGCTCACCTTTTGAAGGAACAGAACACATAAATATCTCTCATTATTTGTTATTTTTCTTTATTTCTTAAGCTCTTAATCTGATTACAATATTCTTTCTATTGGATTTCATTATGAAAAATCTTATAAAATCATATTCTATGTGTCGTTTCCATATAGGAGATGGGTCATCATAACCTTTTATTACTTATTCTATAAAAAGAATGTATAAACATAAAAATGTCTTAAAATAATTGTTGGGCTATGTGACGTCATTTGTTTACATTTGGATACGCATCGAGCAGATATAAATGTACGTGAGAAAATCATGGAAAATTGAAGTTTATAGACAGTAAAATACTAACCTCTGTGGTGAAATCGTTAAAAGCACGTCAGGCTATATGACGGTTCCGTATAGGATACAGGTTCGATCCCTGTCGGAGGACGCATATTTTCTATGACAATTTCTAGGACATTCAGGCCGGTAAATGTTGTTAATACTGTTTATTATAAACATAGCATTTACTTAAATATGTATATCTATAAAAAGAATGTATAAACATAAGAATGTCCTACTAACTTTGTAGTAACTGGAAGAGTCTACAATATTCTCATTAGAGAGAAGACACCACAACAATATATATATATATATATATATATATATAGGATTAGTGGAAGAAAATGTTTATAATGGCTGAATGATTTTACTTTCGGCATTCTGACTTTTATTCATATTAATCCAAAACCGCTGGCGTATTTCGTATAGAAAAAAAGCATTAATATTTCCCTTCTTCTCTGCCGTGCGACGAAGGCCTAGTGGTAGAATATCTGACTGATGTCAAATCGGTCGGAATTCCGATATGAGTAGACGCTCCATTTTATTACATTACACATTTTGCCCTCGAGGAAATTTATTAAAGAAAATACGCCTTCCTGCAGTATTCGTAAAAAAACGAAATCCCTTCATTCTTTAGAAATTGCTTTGTTTACGTTTCGGATACGAAACTGATCAGATATGCCTTTCAAGAAACATAAACGAGCAAGTGAGCTTTTGAAGGAACCTTCCTTGTTTGTGAAGCTCTTCGTAGCCAAGCGGTTAAAGCACACAGGATAAGACGGTTGTTTCTCCTTCGCTGTATTTAAAGTTAAAGTAACAAATGTGTGGAAACTATGATTGTCCTCACCTGAAGGTAAATGTCACATACAAAGAGAAAGACACTTCAGCTTATCCAGTGAATTTCCCATCATTATTAAATTTATTCCTCAAATAAACTACACTTATTAATATTTGGGCTGATGAGTTGAGAACAATGACTTTTAATAATCATATTTAGTCGACGATACGACATTTCGTGGCTTCCTCATAAGGCGCAATGTTTAGGCGTCAGTATTGTGGACAAATTATTGAATTCATCTCGTCACCATCAGAGATGAATTAATTGAATCGGTATTTTACTAAGAGAACTAATTAATCCTCTCCACACCAAGATATGCGCTTAGCGTAAATGTTATCGAAGCGAAATGCGGCATCGGCGACACGAGTTCAATTTCTGACACCGACCCGCAAAATTACTTTTCGGAAAGGTATAAATAAAACTCTCCTCCAACACCAGCTTCGGACTAAATAGCAAGTTATATACCATGTCACATTGGAACAACTGTTCCCGTACGATCACCAGAGTTAAGCAAGGTTGAGCCTGGTCAGTACCTAGATGGGTGACTATTTGGGAATACCCGATATTGTAAGCTTCGATTTGCGTGTGGTGTAAGAGGTGAAGGCTAACTGTTAATCGGAGAGCCGTGTTCCAATTCTAGTCGAGTTTGTTGCATTCTCTTACGCCCATGTACCCTTGGAAACGACATGAATCCACGTCTTCTCTCCTCGAGCTATAGATTAAATAGTACTGCTATCATTTAACCACTATAGAGTAGTATTTCTGCCTGCCGTCAGAAAAACTGACACGAGACTACTGGAGAGCAACCCATTGCACCTTCTTGGCCTCAACTGACTTGAAGTGGAACGACTACATCGAATCGATAGCAACATCTACTGCAAGGAAATTTGGGTCACTGTGCCGTGCCAAAATATTTTTCTCGTCTTGCACATTTAAAAATCTACCATTTGTCCGTCCATTGAATATTGCTGCTATATTTGTTCTGGTGCTCCTGCTATTTCTATGGAGGTTCTTGACAAAATCCAAAGAAGAATCTGTAATTTAAACATCACGTCGTCACTCACTTTCTCACTGACATGACATGGCTTTCTTCCGTTTTTCTACAAATATTCTCATGACAACTCTTCTTGCGAGCTTTTCCTGGTACCCCGACTGAATGAATTTAAGTGTGCCTCTTGATTGACATCTAGGAACTACCAGTTTATTGATGAAATAACTAAATGTAAACGCCACTTCTATTTAAACAGTTCTTCTCCTACTTCCCACCTGTGGAACTCCCTTCCGTTTACTTACTTCTCTGATAACTACAATCTTCAATAATTTAAATGCAACGTCAATCGCCATCTTCTATCTTCTTAAATTCCGTTCATCTTTTGTCCTTTTCTGATCCTTCCTATACTGACACGAGATTCCTGGAGAGCAACACACCGAACCTTCTTGGCGTCACGTTTTTAACTAACTTGAAGTGAAACGACTACATCGAATCAACAGCAATATCTACTGCAAGGAAAGATGGGTCACTGTTTCATGCCAGAATAATCGTCTCGTCTTGCACATTTACAAATCTACCATTCGTCCGTAGATTGAATATTGATGCCATATCTGGACTGGTCCTCTTGATGTACATCTCGCGATTCTTGAAAAAATCCAAAGAATGATCTGTAATGTAATTTGTTATCTCGACGTCAGTCACATTCTCACCGACGTGACGTGGTTTCCCGCTGTCTATCTTACAAATATTTTCATGGCAACTGGAGAATTTTTTTTCCCTGATTATCCTACTGCATGAATTTAAGCGTGCTACGAGATAAGCATCTTCATCTCACCAGTTAACTCTTGAAACAGCTAAATGCAACTACAACTTCTACCCGGACAGTTTCATTTCTTGCATTCTACTTCCGTCGACTTTATACTCTGATAAATACAATCGTCAAACATTTAAATGCAACAGCAACCGCCATCTTCTTGAACCCCGTTCAACTTTTGCTCTTTCCTCAATCTTTTCTCTCATTCTCTGTAGCACCCTGTGTACTAGTAACAATCCCGCCTTGCTTGGGGTAAGATGATAAAAAAATGTCATTGTTTGTTTGTCATTTAAGTTCTGAACATTGTTTCATAATCGATTTCTGTGCCAAGAAGTAAAAAGAAATGAAGGCTGACAAGTAATTAAATGGGTCCACATGTAATTAAATAAATTAAAAATAAACAGGGTTGTAACTCAGTATATATCCCTCTGTAGAATCAGCCAATCAGAACCTAAAGAATAGACTTGCCAGGGTAACAGAGTAGAATCTCCCAGGTTGTTATATAAACCACCTACCAATTTGCCCAACATAGGCGCTTAGTCGGACTCAACTTCTATTATAGCCGAGTACTGTCTGTTGTTATTACCAAACTCTACATAGTCGATCCTGACCTGGCATCTCGACTTCAGTCACTTTCTCACTGGCCTAACATGGCTTCCCTCTGTCTTTTCTACAAATATTTTCATGGCAACTGTTCCAGCGAGAGTTTTTTTCTTTCTTTGGTGCCCCGACTGCATGGATTTAAGCGTGTTACTAGACTGGCATCTAGTCCCCCACTGTTAACTCTTTAAATAGATAAATGCAACCACTACTTCTAATCCAACAGTTTTTTTTCTCTTCCGTCTACTTGCTTCTCTGATAACTACAATCTTCACACTTTTGTCATTTCCTCAATCCTCCCCATACTCAGAAATTTCTCCCCCTTTCTGTAGCACACCGTGTACTAGTGGCATTCCCACCTTGCTTGGGGTGAAATGATACAAAATGTCATGGACAGATGGACAGAGGAAAAGAACGTATAGCCTACCTAGTGAGATTGAGTAAAGGGTTTAGGAGAGATAACAAAAAGATAAAATTTATTAAGAGCTACTAAGGAGATGAAATTGTGGAGAGCCATGATCTCCAACGTACGGAAATAATAGGACACGTAGAAGAAGCACAGAAAT